GGGAGAGCTTGAGGGGGCTGTGTTTGCCTCTGCAGCTGCCACAGATGCCTTCTGAGTGCTCTTCCTTATTCCTTGGAAGTACCTGAGTCCTATTGGACGCTGGATGCCAGATGTGGGGTGCTCCCAGCAAATTCTGCTCTAGCTGTGACCACGTGCCCTTCAGAGAGATGAGAGCACCTGGGGTCCCATCTTCCCTGGGGCTGCTGAGTGGGAGCAGAGGCTGCAGCTCCAGAGCAGGAGTGTTCATTTGGGGTTCATGAGAATCCAGCACACTCTGAATTACTGCAGTTGTCCAGAACTAGATGTCCTTGCCCCTCCCATTACCTTCAGTTTTGAGATGGCTTTGTGCACTATGGAACTTAGAAAACTCGGGGAGGCTCTAAGACAGAAGGGGATGCTACCTTTGCAGTGGCCTGTGGCTGGTTTGTGAAGACCCAAATGCATTGTCAAAACTGTTCTTAGCTCCTGACTAATCCTCTTTCCTAAATCCCACCATGTGGATCTGTGGCAAATGTTGGGTTATAAATCCAGTCTGAAGATGGGTTTAGATGACCTTAATTTGGTCTTCCTGGTGCACTTCTCTCATGATGCTTTCCACAACCCTCCCACCTCAGCCTGCCTTCTTGAGGTAAGGTAATTCTTCCACAAGTGCTTAGTGAACTGCTCAGCTCCTGGAGACGAGGAGCACAGTCCTTACTCAGGAGGAGTGGCAGACACTGCCCCAGAGCTGCATGTGCTGACAACTGCAGTGTCAGAGCAGGTGGGTGACCTGAGCACCCTGTGGGTGCTGCTCTGGGACAGTCACCCTGGCCCAGGCTGGCTCTGTACAGCGCTGATGAGGATTTATGATGTGCCTTTTACCTTCAGACAGCAATAGAACAGCTGTAGTCACATCTGGACTGCTGCCAGGGCCCTTCCTGAAGAGGCCTTAATATTTCTCTCTAAAGCTGTTGCTTCATCTTCTTCCTCACCAATGTTCCCCCATCCCCCTTGGCTGTGCCCAGCTTGAGCAGCATCCAGAATTGTAGAATAAGAGTTATTTGGCAAGACTGTTCCTGTTTCATTTCCTCTTACTCTGTAAGATGTTTCCTACTGTAGATACCGTAAGAGTTTTTAAATATGCAAAACCAGTTGCTGTAGTAATTGGTTCTGGTCCTGGAATTTTGCTGTGCTTGGGATGCAGAGATGTTCCTGGCACTTGCAGGCCAGAAGCAGTTGATTTGTTGATACACATTGTATCTGTGTGTGTTGTTGTTTTCTAAATACAATACGCCCTTCTGTGGTTAAACCAAGGTCGTTGAGTGGTAAATTAGGAAGTGGAGAGTGGAATGCAGCTGGTCCTGGAACCCTCCTGGGAACAGTGTTGTCTATTCCTGCTCTTCCCTCTTATGTCCAAGGAGTGACCTGCCCAGACTGGCACTGTGTGCCATGAGACCACAGGGACACAGAAACCTGTATACCTGGTTAATAATGATACATTACAAATTAGTAATGTTTCATGTTAGTAAGCAAAATGCTTCTTAATTTTAAGTAACCTGATACTTTGCATATTTGTAAATTACAGGAAAAATGGTTTTTAATGTTATTGTCCAGCACTTTGCTGCTTGCAGTTTTAATCAGTGCTGTTCCTGCCTCAGCCATGGGGTGAGGTGGGTTTGCGTTTCTGGTGGAATGCTGGTATCTGCTGCTTCTCTTGCAATCAGAAGATTAACATTTTGTACTCCCCAGCTGACACTTGCTGAATTTTCTGTATCACTATGCAGTATAGTCGTGTACTGAGTGGCCATGTGACAGCCATGGCAAAGGAAGAACTGTGTTACATAAATAAAAACTGCTGAGTTGACATATTTGGTCTCTGGTGGCTTTTTGGAGGAACATTCAACATTTTGGCTGGCATTCCATGAAAAGTCAGAAATTATCCTTCCTCCCCTGGGTTCCTCTGACAGGCTTCGATCTCCATATGCAGTCTGAGGGCTTGTTACTGACAGGCTGTTAATTGATACAGTGAGACCAAAACATCCAACTGCTGTGGCAGATAAGAGCATGTGCAGTGTTTGCTGTTTATTTGGCAGCACTGGGGTTTCTCAGTGCCTGGGGCAGGCACTGGCAGGGGAAGGTGGAACGAGAGAAGTTGTGGGTGTCTCGGGTGCTAAAGCACAGAACACTGATGGGAATTTTGAAATCAGCATGAGCTGTGTTCAGTCTGAAGGGGCAATTCCATTGTACGGTCTGGAAACAACTGTATGTTTTATTCAGTTATGGCACATCCCTGTCAACTGTTGAGTGTGGAATAGTGTCCAGACTCTGGACAGGCTCTGAAGGTTTGTTATGGACTGGAAGTGCAGCAGAAATATCAGTGCTCACATTGCTGTGTAAGGATCTTCCCCTCCCACCTGCTCCAGTGCAGCACAGCATGTTCTTATCTCACCGGTTAAATAACTTTATGGTCTGTATTCAAACTTGGGCTCTTCTTTTACCACAGGACAATGACTCTGTAGTTAATCAGAAACGAGGAAGGCAAGTGCTCCCAGAGACAGCTGAATTTCAAAACAAACGTGGAACTTCAGAGTCTGAAAGGTCTTTTATTGGCTGTGGCAGAGGAACTCTGGGGATGTCACTGCAGTGACAGCTCACGTGGCTCTGTGCGTGTGTGGGGTGATGGAGTGGTGTGTTGCAGAGCTGAGCACACCTTTAACCAGGTGTGGAGTCTGCTTCTGTCCTTAGTGGGGTCTGTAGCTGAAAAATGCTGCATGGTGTTAAGGCTGCTTTTCCTGTAAAAGACCTTTAATAGGTAATTCTAGGTTTGCAGGATGTGCAGGGGCAGGAGGATGTTTATTTTTGCTTCCCTCAAAGCTGGTCTGACACAATTCAAGGCATCAGTGCAGAGGTTCATAACTGGAGCAGTTTGGGAGGGTCAGGCCCTAGCACAGATCTGGTCAAAGCTATTCCCACAAGCTGCTGCGTGTGCTGCTGGAGCAGCTGGCCCACCCAGCTGCCATCCCACTGCTGGGCTTGGAATTCTTTCCTCACACAGGGTTCTGTGGGAGCAAAGCTGCTCCCAGAGCATCCCACGTGTTCTGGGTAAGCATTGCCTCCCCAGGGGCCTGCTCACCAGGAGTTTGGGAAATGGGAATGCTAATTGGAAGTGCTGCTGCTGCACATTTTCCCCACCTTGCACAGTCTGCAGGGAGTTGGTGCAGTTGCCCACCTGCACTGGGCTGTCAGTGCAGGATTTTGGGGTGCATCCTGTGCCTCAGGACTTCCTAAAGCTCAGTGGGGAGAGGCTGCCATGACTGCTGGGCATTTGCCAGCCAAAATGGGTCAGATAGGCTTGTCAGCTCACGTGGCTGTTGGGGAGAAGGAGGTCACACATGGGCCTGCTGAAGGTTTCCTGTGCTCTGGGGGTTCCCAACCCTCATCCTGTCAGCTGTGTGCTGTTGAGCTCTGGGGAAGGCCAGCTCCTCTGAGCAGCCCAGCCCACTCCCTGGGGCTCAGTCGCCTCTCCCTGGCACCACGGCCCTGTGCTGCCCTTGCTCACTGAACTTCCATCTCAACCCAGCTGGTTCCTCCCATCAGGGGATTTCCAGGATGTGGCTATCTCAGTTCTATCTTTTTAAGGATTCTAGAGGCAGGAATCTGACCCAGGGTTCCTGTGCAGGCCATGGGGCAGAGGCTGGTGTGTAATGGGAGCACACGTGTGTGCCCTCACGGGGGGTTTGGTGATGTCACCCACCTGGGGCTCCCATACATGGGAGCAGGTTCAGCATCAACCCTCTGTGTTTCCGCAATGCTGAGGCTGCTGCTCTTCCGCCAGAGAGGAAGAGGTGTCTCAAACACAGCAGCAACTCTGCACTCTGTACCCCAAACCTCTTTTGCAACACAGCCTTGCTATGAGACAGAACTGCAGGAAGCGAGCAACTGCAAAATAAATGTTGCACCCAAGAGAAGAGGAAGGTGCTGGGGAGGAGCTGGGTGCTGTCCCAGGGTGGTGGGAGGGGAGGCTGGTGCTGGACTGGGATGATGGCAGTGCTACATGTGCGGTGCTCTCAGCACTCGCCCTCCAACCACGTGTTTTTTCAGTCCTGTCATCTGCTTTGCTCAGGGATTAGGCCCTGAGGATTACATACCTTGCACCCCCACGCTCCCCAAGGCCAGGGGCTGCCCCTCAGAGCCAAAGCCCTGCTGGCAGAGCAGCTGCCAGCTCAGCCCTTCTGAGGAAGCCACGGGCTGGGAGCAGGGAACAATATTGCACAAATGTGTTGGAGTAAACACAGCCTCGGGTTGAGCAATAGGTCAGGAGGATTTGCATGCTGTGGTGGCCTGGGAAAGGTTTCTGTGGCCTGGAAAATGTTCTGTGGCCTGTGAGGCGGCTCTTCCCTCTCTTGGGGCAGGGTGGTAAGGGGCAGGGAGGCTGGTGGCTGCAGCTGATGCTGCTTGATGTCACCCTCTACCTCCTGAGCCCTATCCCTGTCCCTGTGGGGCTGGCTGGGGATTTCCAGCCTGAGGAGAGCTGAACAGTGGCTGCAGAGCCACGACACTGCAGAGCTGCTGTGGGACGTGGCCAGTGCTCCCACTGTCTCGTTGTGTGGATGCCGCTGATTCCTGCGGGAGAGGGGTGTTTGAGGCTGCAGCGGTGTCCCCAGAGCAGTTCATTTGCAGGGCCTGGTTTATTTTGGTCTTTCTGAGCAGCGTGGGGCTGTCCCCTCGGCTGCGCAGGCCGGCTGGGTGTGGGTGAGTCAGGCTGCTGCTGTTCTTGTTGCATCAGTTCCCCGCCTGTGGGAGCTGCACGGACACGTTGGAGGACAGATCCCTGCCGATCCCTGCCTGCCGCAGGGAGAGCTCCTGGGGAGCCTGTCCCCAGCCCTTGCCATGGGTGAGTGCTGGTCCCTGCTCTGCTTCAGTGAGAGCTCACCTGTCCCCCTCCCCAAAGAGCTGGGACCTGGCGCTGCAGCTCTGCCGGGGAAAGACCAGGTGGACACAAGCGATGGGAAGCAGCCGTCTGTATTGAACAGCCACAGCACAGGGGCAGCCCTGGGGACCCCGGGGTGGGGGGCAGGACACAGCCCCTCTGTGCTAGGCCAGGCCTGGGCACGGGGAGGCCCCTCAGCCCTGCTCCGAACGGTGCTGGTGGTCCCAGGGCTCATCATCTGGGGCACGAGGGGCCCTCGGCCACCCCAGGGGAGCCGCTTCCCCCCGGCCGCTGTCGCGAAGAGCTGGCCTGGCCTTGCAACACGTGCAGAGCTGCTGACATGGGGACCAGGCCTGGCCGGCCAGGAAGTCACTGGGTGAGTTTTGCAATCCATCGCCCCAGGGGCTCCAGCTTGTGCAAGGTGTCTGGGGCCACTGGTGAGCAGACTCCTTGTTCCTGGAGCCTCCCAACAAGGTGCAGTAGATCAGGAGGATGCTCTGTGGTGGGCTCCACCAGAGCCAACCCCACCAGGGCACAGTCAGCCCTGGGGTGGCCCTGGGCAGGGAGGTGGCTGTGACTTCTCCTGGCCCTAGGGCCAGCAGCTCACCCTGACCTGCCTCTTGGCTGGTTCCTGCTCCCAAGGAATGGCTGCAGTTCTGCAGGATGGGGCCAGGCCTGGCTGGCCCCGACGGATGGAGAGGCACATCCAGGGACGCAGCTGGGACTCCACCACTCTGGCCTGTGTCCTGAGCAGCCTGGGCAGGGAGGGACGTGTGGCTCCTTCGTGACTCGCTGATGCCCTGCTCACACCTTCACTTACGTTTTCTGCCATCAGGCTGGATGGTGCCGCGTGGTGGCCACAGGGGCTCTGCCCACTGGTGTCCTGGGACAGAGCAGGGGGGAGAGGGGATGTGATGGCCAGAGCTCTGCCAAGTGTGGGAGTACCCAGCCAGGCTCCTGGAGGGAAGTCGTTCAGACAACTGGGAGCTTTTCCTGGCTCCCTCCTCCCAAATACCTCCCAGGGCACCCCAGTGCCACCCAGTGCCCAGGTGGGGAACTAGTGGGCTCCCCACGCTCCCCGCATTGCCCCATCCCCAGCTCTGGTGGCAGGTCCCCCCTCCCCGTGCCCCCTCCAGTCCCCAGCTGCTACCTTCTGGGCTCTCTCCCTCGCTCCCGCTGGCAGTTGGATCCTCCACTTCCCCCAGCAGCTCGGGGCTGTCGCTGCTGTTCCATTGCCACGGCACCTCCTGCACCTGGGACAGGGTGTGACGGTCTGGGGGGCCAGGGGGGACTGGGGAGGCTGGGACCCTGCGGGGCACTCACCCGCTGGCGAAGGCTCTGTTGTTCCCGCAGCACCTCCAGGAAGCGGCTGCTCCACAGCAGCTTCTCTGCCCCCAGCTCCGTGCAGAGGAAGCGGACGTCGGCCTCCAGCCCCTCCAGCCTCTCCAGCATGGCCTCACTGGCATCACTGTGCTCCTGCCACTGCACCACTGCCCCAGCACCACAGCTCAGCTGCCGCCAGCACCCCCTGACAACTGCCAGCCTCAGCCTCTGCCCCAGGGACATCCCCAGGCTGGGGACTTACCCGGCTGCCCAGGCTCCAGCAGAGAATCGGAGTCTCCGTTCTCCTCCTCCTCCTCCTCCTCCTCCTCCTCCTCACTCCCCTCCAGTCTCAGCTGCAGAGATGTTCCGAGCTGGGTCAACACAGATAGTGGGGACTGACACATCCATGGGCAGCCAAGCCTGGATGGCCTCTGGCAATGACCCTGGCAGGGGAACTCCCCTGGTGCCACCCAATGAACTGTGTCCCTGGGCTCGGCCATGTCCCAAGAGCTGGCAAATGCCACAGTCCCTGTGGTGTGGGGACACGTTGGGGGACTTTTACCTCCTCTGTGGCCTGGAAGGCGCTGTCCCAGCAGCTCTTGTAGCAGATCAGCAGCACCTGGGGAAGAGGACAGCTCACATCTGCTCTGGGGAGTGCAGAGCCTGGAGTGATGTCCCCATGTCCCCAGGGCTGTTGGTGGGCAGAACCATACAGTGCCTTGAGCCAAGAGCCAGCCCTCTGGAGGACAGAGGACAAGGGCCCCAGTCCCGCAGCTGCACCACCGGCTGGCGTGGTGACCCCCCAGCTGCCCCAGGTGCACCAAACCACAGTCCCCAGCACCACTCGTACAGAGGGTGCACCCCAGCAGGTCTCAGCCCCCCAAATGCCCCACTTTTGGAGATGACACAGGTGCATGGGGGTCCCTGGGGAAGGGGTCCCGCGGTACCGACCCACGTGAGCCTCCAGAGCCACCACAGCCCCCGCAGCACCGTCCTGCAGAGCCACAGGAGCCACCAGCACCCAGCACGCAGGAGCCGCTCCCACCACGGCCCCGGGGGTCTGCGCTGCCGGCCCATGGGACCCTGAGGGGCAGGGGACAGAGGTGAGGGCCCTGCAGGCCTGGAGCCGCGCTCTGTGCACCGAAGGGTTGCGTGGCAGCCGCGGTGCCCCCACACGGCAGTGTCTTCCCCGGCTCGCCACCTGCCAGGACAACGAGAGGGAGCCTGAGCATTTGTGGGGCCAGACCCCCTCATGTGGGACACGCGCTCGGCAGGGACCCCCTCCCCTCTGCCCCCTTACCCAGCCATGGCACAAACCTCGGCGGCCGCTCGGCCCAGATGAACTCCTGCCTAATCCTCTTGGTGACGAGGCTGCGCAGGGATTAGCATTTCCCTGCTCCACCTTTGGGGGCCATAAGGACAGCGGCTGCTCTGCAACCCTTGTTTTTTCTGCTCAGGATCCACCTTTCACAAGCAAAGGACTTCTAACCTCTACTTTTGCCTTTCATGAGCATTTGGGTAAAGTCTGTGCAGCTCTAACTCCTGTGCCCAGGCTTGGCCATGCCAGGGGTCTTTAGTCACTCGGGCTCTTTAGGAAGGAAAACAGAAATCTTCAGGAATCAAATGGAAATTTTAGGCACAACTGCCAGAGTCAGCAGGCAGCTGCTGAGCAGCAGGACCTGGCAGGGAACAGCTGTGCCTTTAACTGAACCAAGCATTTGCCATTTTGCTTTCTAATCAATGCGCTCCCCCCAGGCTGCTGCCATCAGACAGGGGCCTTGGCAGAGCAGGCTGTCCCCTCCTTCGGTGACAAACACGGCCTGGGGCAGGAATGGCTGCATTTCCCCCTTGTCCCTGCAGCACCCCAGTGTGTCACAGGGAACGTGGAGCTGACTGACCCTGCCACACAACCCGCTGGCACACAGCGCTCTGAGCTACACCAGCCTTTTGCTGCTTCTCCAATATGTTCTGTCCAAAAAATCTGTCAGCTTTCCTCAAGGTCAGAGGTGCAGCAGAGACTTCAGCCATCCCTGCTTGGAGCAGCAATGGGAGCACTATTTTTCTACCAAGGGCAGGGAATCAAAACCATCAGCTGAGAGTTCTCTTTTCCAAAACTGTGGAGCAGCAAGGCCTCGTTCCTAGATCTTCCACCCCCTGTATTTAACCTCTGCAATTCAAAACACACAGAAATAGGCCGGCTTTGCAGCTTGGCCTTTAAGCTGCTCCACCCCAACCCCTCCACCCTCCGCCCTGGAGAAGCAGCTGCAAGCTCCAAGCACAGAGAGCCAGGTCCCTGTGGGATAAACCAGCCCCTGAGCAGAGGGCTCCCTGTGGGAAAAGCCAGCTCCCTCCAGGAACAAACATGGAGCTGTCTTGATCCTGGACCAGACCCAGCTTGAGGGAGAACTCTGCTCCTGTGCCTCCACCTTCACTCAGGTCCTGCACTGCATGGACTGGGGTGCCTGCAGGGAGCTGAGAACGACCCCAGGCCCCAGGGGATCAGAGGTGCAGCAGAACGGATGAACCATTGGTTGTTCCAAGGGCCACGCACACTCTGAGGGCTCAGGGACACCCCTGTCCCATGGCCCCTTTCCCAAGGCTCTCTCTGTCAGCAGGGGTTACACAAACACATACCAGCACCAGTTCCAACATCAACTCCCCTCCCTGAGCAAAGCAAAGCTCAGTTCAAGAGCAGCACCAAGGTCCTGACCCGGGAGCTGGGAGCAGCATCTGGCCCTCACCCCTCTGTGCTGCTCCAGGGGCAACCCCACCAGCTCATCCCTGATCCACGGGCAATCTGCCAGCAGCAGCAGAACCCACAGACATCCCAGTCCTGCCTTGCACAGCTGGAGGTTGGAGCCTGGCACTCCCTGCAGCACTCAGTCACAGCCATCCGAGGAGAGAAGGCACCAAGGGAACCTCCCAGGGGCCACGGGACAAGGAACTGCTCCTGTGCCAAAGGGGAAGAACTCCAGCAAAGCCCTCATAAAACAGGTGGACAGTAAAAAGCACCAGGAGTCAAAGTTTGGACTGAACAAACCATGGGAAGAGACAAACATGGAACTTTTATTGTTTATGTACAAATGACAGAAGTTTGTAGTAAAAAGAGAATCCACCCAAAGTCAGTGACAGCAAAGAGCAAGTTGGCTCTAAGCTCTGACCCTTCCTGCACCTAAAGCACTGTGGAATCTTGGGAGATGGTGTTTAAAATGAAAGAGAAAAGGGTTAAACCACCTTCTCTGCTTGAGTACGAATCAAACAAGCTGCTCCACAAAATGAAGAACCTTCCACTACACGGATTAAACAAAGAAACCCAAAGTCAACTTTTAACTATACACTTTGGCTTTAAAAAAACCACAATAAAACCAACAAAAATCCAAAACCAAACCTAAACCTACAAAGCTAAGTATCAGCAACAAAAGTAATCTGAGTCTCACAACATGGATGGGACACACTGAATTCTACCCCAGTTCCAGTGGCAAAGGAAATGCCTCTCTGTGGGTCTGCAGGTGGCAGGGGGGCAGCAGCATCAGCCATTTCAGCAAGTTCCTGACCAAGGTGGAAACACAGAACAGTCAGGAATTCAGGACTACTACTACTACCTACACCACCTTAGTCTTCCAGCAACGCAGGTGATTTAAAAATGATGCAAAGTACATGGTCCAGCATTTCCTCCCCCCATCCAAGTCCCTTAGAGTGAGTCACTCCAGCTGCAGTTGCCATCCTGCTTCAGGGCTTCTCAGTGGGGAGTCACAGACCAAAATCCTAGGAGCATCAGCACTCATGGCTCTAGTAGTCCTGCAGAGAAAGGACAGCACAGGCACGTTAACACCTTCCCACCTCTGATTCTGCTCACGGAGCTGGGGGATCTCAGTCCTCTCCCATCTCACACAACATTAGCTGCAGGCAAACCAGATTTTTTTCTTGTGGCTAAACACTGAAAAGGATGGAGCCTTCCAACCCTGAGCATCAACTCAAACCAGATGCTTTTGATGCTCCAGATAATGACAAAGTAACAGGATGCAAAACAGCTTTTTCCAGAAGTGCACAGGAGCTACCTGTGACCCCATCTCAGAACAGCCCTCCTGGGCTCAGGTGCTGTCACAGCCACAGGACAATGCTGGTCTCACACTAGGACACTCCTCAACCACAAAAACTTAAATGAGAGCACAGGGAGGGTTTTTTTAAGCTTAGGAGTCAGCCAGCCCCTTGGGTGCAGAGGTGAGCAATGAAAACACGGACAGAGCACAGATACTTACGGCTCTTGGCTTTTTGTTTAACTTGAGATCAATCCTGTGGTTGGAGAGACAAGAGAAATGTCCATGTCAATGCCTGACCCGACACCAGAGCTACTGCACAGGGCACAGCTACGACAGAGACTACGGTTAATCCATCCATTCCCAACTGGCTGAGCCAGGGCGCTGTCCCAGGATTACTGGGAATGAGAGCAGCAGGACAGTGGAGCCGTTATTATTTGCCAAAAAGCAGATTCCATCCACTCCCAGACAGAGTTAATCAAGGGGCACAGTCAATCACAGGGCAGTTAGGCAGGTGAACAGGGGGAACTACGCATGCTCTATGTTAATTTAATCTGTCAGGGGTGTAACTATGCCTCAGGTAATTATCCAGACATAGTGTGAGGGTTATTCACTTGGATAGGGAGAGGAGTTAGGATGACAGGGATTATATGAGCCAAAGGTACTGAGCTTAGTACATTTTTCCAGAAGGAAATATCAAAGTCTATACTAATCTCCTGAAGCAGCAAAGCCAGAAGAATCAGATTTTAAACTAAGTTTTAAAGTTAAAAAGTTTTATCTATTTAAATATGAAACAGAAAGGTAAAGAAGAGTGAAGTTAATGTAATTTTTGCTGAAGTTATTAAATAAAATGTTACCTCCATCACGCTTTTCTGTTTTTAAAAAAAACTTCCCAGCCTAACCTAATATACATACCTACAATTAAACAGATAAACTAGGGGTTAGCGAGGTCTCAAAAGGCACATTGGTGTCTACACACTAACAACACAGCACAAGTACTAATTCAAGTCAAACTTACTCAAAGTCATAATCAAACATGCCAGACGGGCTGAGGGGCAGCATTTGAAAGGAAGAAAGCAATAGAAATTAATATACTAATGAATTAAATCAATTAGTTGATTAGCCACCCTAGCAAGATTGCTAAAAAATAAAATAAATAATACAGCCAGAGTTCAAACGCCACCAAGTTCTTCAGGTATCTTAACCAGGATGGGGCACAAAAAGCACTCGGGAATGGCAATCCGGGGTCCCCCTCCCCGCCAGATTTCTGGGAACACGAGGTTTGCACAGAGGTGGGGTTGGTTTACAGAGGGGATTTTAGGAGCTGAGAGGGGCAGCTGCCAGACCTGAGACTGCAGAGCTCAGGGGTGGGAGAGGAAACCCAGAGAGGGGGGGTCAGGGAGCAGGGGTGGGCTGAGCTTGCCAGGGCAAGGCAAAGGTGGTTCAGGCAGAGGCGACAGAACTCGGTACCCACTCAGCACTGGGCTGTTCCTCCCCACACCCCCACCCAGCACTGCCCTCCCAGCTAATGAGACACCAGAGTTATTTGGCCAGAGCTGATTAGTTTGGTGACAGTCCCACCCCTTCACACAGGTGCCACAGCACAGCCTTCAGACTCAGCTCTGCCCACAGCTGCCACTGGCTGGGAAGGGCTGACCATGGAATCCCATTTCAGCCCTGCTTTGCTAAGACAAAACAGCTCCACATTCCCCCAAATACTCATTAGTTGTGAAAATTGCTAAGCACACAGAAAATCCCCATCCTAGCCTTCCTGTGGTGTGGAGGGAGCAGAGGGTGACAGCACAGGCCCTGTAACCTCCTCCCTGTGTGTACCTGAAGCTGCGTCCCGTTCACCCCGTGCTGCCCAGTCTGACCCAGTTCCCCACCAGGAACCCCAGTGAGGCCGAGCTCCCTCCTGTTCCCAGCACCTCCCGGCTCTCCAGGAATGGGGGAGTGGAACCAGCGGTGTGCTGGTGAATGGAAGAGCTTCTGAACAAAGAGAAACACCGACAGTTCGTTTTATTTTTCATTTCCATGCCAGGACACTCAGGACACAGACCCACAGGTCTGGCTGGAGTGGGGACTGTTAATGCCCTTGCTGCACACTCAGATCACTGGGATGGGGTTGTTGCTGGGTTTTTTTAAGCTAAATATACTTGAAAACTGTTTGGTCTCATCTGCCAAAATTTAGGGGATAGTCAGTAACAGCAATCACAATTTTAACAGAGCTTTTATTACAGAAAAATTTAATTATCTTGTTTTAATTATCTATCTGGCCCTCCTAAGCATTACAAACAGTCAGTTCCTGCCTCACTGAGCCCCTCGGCACTGCAGGTGTCTGACAGGTCCTGGGGACACTGAGCTGCCACAGCTGAGCAGAGCAGGGCTCCTCTGTTCAACAGCCCAACCTGACAGCTGTAGAGGGGAGGAATGTGAAGGAACCCAGAGCCACGCAACCTGTTGCTAAAATCCGGGTTTATGGAATGGAACAAAGGGATTTACATCATTTACAGCACCTGCCCTGCACCCCACCATGTTGCTGGCCATGGTTTGTCCAGGGAAGTGCTTGGGAGAGTATTTTATAATTTGTTTGAAATTGCAATTTTCTTAAGCTGTACTTCAGTTTTACAGGTTGTTTCTCTGGACTTGTTCACGGATGTAGTTTCTTGTGTTATTCCTGAACTTCTTCCAAATATCTATAGGCAAAAAAAGAGATTTGAACTTCTTTGGATTCTCAGCTCGTGAGGAACCAAAGGGACATCCAATACTTTTAGGTGTTTGCCCAATTCAGGCTGCTGTAGGGAGGAAATTCTGACCTAAGAATTAAAGACACACTAATGACTCAACACCTAATGAAGAAGAAAAAGGAGTTAAGCATTTTTCAAGCAGTGTACCTACCTCGTGTCCCCACCCCAAATGCCCCCAGCCCCCCTTGTAAACTTTTACCACTTTAAACCACTTCTCTCTTTAACTGCACGGGCAAGTCCCTCAAAGAGGAAGCCCATCCCTACTCAGAGCCAACAGCTCAGAGTCAGCACAGGCACTCTGGAGTTTTAAAAGCTCCATTATTTCTATTAATCCTTAGGTCCCAGCCCCAGAAATCTTTCCAGGAAGGTGCAGCTCTGCAGTGTCTCCTCTCCATGGATTTCCATGTTTTTCCCTGTTCAGGGCCTGACTTACAGGCCCTGTCACTGCAGGGTCTGAGCCACCAGCCCAGAGCTGGACAGGTAAATCCAACCAGAAAGAGTTCTGGGAATCTGTTTCACGTCAATTTCAGGTCAGTTTAATAATAAGTACCCTGAGGTAAAGGTAACACAGCAACTCCTCTTTGGCAGCACTGAGGCTGGGCTAGGACAGGAGAGCGCGAAGGTGCTGGACTGGAAATCCAGATACTGGGAGTGCCCACAGCACCCAAAACATTCCCATTTGCTTTCCCCCCTCCTCCAAAGAAAGCATTGACATTCCTGTCTTACTGGGATCTGCAGAAACCAAGCAGCAAGAACAGAAGGTCAGGACCTGCTGGAAGGAATCACTTTTATCCTCCTGGAGAGAAAGTAGAGCTGGAGAAGCCTCCCAGCACAGCTGTGCCATAGCTGGTGGTTTAACTTCCTCAGCACTTTCCCCAGCTCAATAAAAGGGCCCAGGCATCCTGCTGAATGCCACGGAATGCACAGTTACAAACCAGGAAAACCTCCCCAACAACTGACCCCAGCTGCCTGTTATTCCAAAGGTTACTGTTTCCTTCCAGACAATAAATTCAATCCAGCCCCAGCCACCTTTCAGGTGTCCAAGAGGCTGCTGATCCCACTGACCTGTGTCTGTTTTTGTTCTTCCGCTTTTTGTGGCTGCTGTGGTGGCTCCCGGAGGACGTGGAGGACGCAGCTTTCTGGGGCTTCACCCCCTGCACGGAGCCATCCAGCTCTTCAGCATCCTCCTGGCTGGGCTCGTTCTCCTGGTTGTGGAAGTCTGGAGAAGTGTCACTCTCTGTGCCACTGCCTGGCTCCCCTAGAGCGGGACAAACCCAGGTGAGCACCAGGGTGAGCTCCCGGCTGCCCTGGCACAGCCCTGAGTGCGAGAAACAACCCCAGAACAGCAGCAGAGACACCTGAGCCCTGCAGCACTGGGAGCTGAATCACACAACCTGGGAAACATCTCCGCAGGACAGAGAGGATGCTGCTCCTCGGCACTGAGGCTCTCTGGAACCACATCCCATTTGGTGCTGATCACAGAAACGTTTTTAAACATCCTGGAGGTGAGTGGCCCCTTTCCACATCCCTCATGGCTGACACACCTACAGTGACGAGGCACTCCAGCTCTTCCAGCCTCCTCCTCCAAAAAGCAAAAACCCACTTCAATTAATTTTCTGCACGACAAACCCCTGCTGAGTGTGTAAGGTACTCAGGAAGTTCAGCTCCAGTTGTTCCTCACAGCACCCACTGGAGCGGCCGGGAGCAGCCCCAGAGCAGCATCTACAGGGCCTGGCACAGGAGCACTGAGTCCAGCCCAGATCTGGAGAGCTGAAACAGGGCTGGATGGTGGGGAGAGTGTCATTTCTCTGGGAATTTGGGAAGAATTTCAAAGAAGTGACTTACGCTTTTCAATGAGCTGGTCCTGGACTCCAGCTAAAGCACTGACAGCCTGGAAAACCAAAAGGGATGTCAAGGCAAGCAGGGATTCACTTCCCAATGCTCAGATCACAGAGCTCAGCTCACACAGACATGTCTCTCAGAAGTGCCAGTGGCCCCACACGGTACAGAGGGTCTGGAGTAGGGACAGCAGCAACACCAGAGACAGGGACCTGGGGTTCTGACTGCCCTCCCACTCTCTGGACACCTGGGAAAGGGGCTCTGGAAGAGGCTGCGGGGTGGGATGGAGATGCTCAGGCCAGGGAGACAGGGCAGGTGCAGGAGTTCCAATGGAAAAGTGGCTCTGCAGCAGCACGGCAGGACCGGGGCACCAAGGGACAGGGATGGGGACAGGGAAGGAGACAGCGACATAAACAGGAAAGGGGACAAAGATGGGGCCTGGGACATAAATGGGGACAAGGTAGGGGCAGGGATGGGGATGTGGGCGGTCATGGGGTCAGGAGCATCTGCCCGTCCTGCCGGTGCCCATCCCGGCACTCACCGCTGCCGAGGTGACCGAGGACTTGCTGAACAGCCTCTCGGCCTCCTTGAACTTGCGGTTCCTGCGGTCGTTTTTGCTGTTGGAGTTCCTGAAACAGAGACAGGCGCGATGGCGGGGCCGGGCCGGTGGGGGGGGCCGGCCGGGCGGGCAGAGCCTCCGCCACTCACTTCTGGTTGGTGAGGTACCGATCCCAGCCGCGGATGATGTTCCCGTACATCTGCGTGTCCTCCAGGTAGCTGCCCTCGAAGGCGTAGATCTGCCGCTCCAGGTTTGCCAGCGTCTCCTGCCGGGAACACCGCGGTGCATGGAGCAGGCCCGGCCGCGCCGCCGCCGCTCCCCCCGCCCCGGGGCCGCCCCCCGGCCCGCACCGAGCCCGTCCCCGGCGCTCACCGCCAGCTCCTGCTTGCGCTTCACCAGCTCGGCGAGCTCCCGGCGGGTGTCCGGGATCTGCGGGGGCCCGCCGGCCTTGGCGTGCAGCGCGGCCGTGGCGGCGCGGCCTGCGCGGGCGGGGCAGGGCGGGGCGCTGCCGGCGGCGGCCGCGCGGGGGCAGCACCGGCACCGGCAGGGCGGGACCCCCAGCCCAGCCCAGCCCAGCCCAGCCCAGCCCGGGAGGGTCCCCGAGCGCTGCGGCGGCACCGCCCGGCACGGCCCCGGCACGGCCCCGGCACGGCCCCGGCACGGCCCCGGCACGGCCCCGGCACCGCCCCGGTACGGCCCCGGCACGGCCCGGCACGGCCCCGGCACGGCCCGGCACGGCCCCGGCACGGCCCCAGCACGGCCCCGGCACCGCGCCGGCACCGCGCACGGGCTTCACGGCGGCACCGCGGCACGCCAGCACGGCCCCAGCGGCACAGCCCGGCACGGCCCCGGCAGCGGCCCCAGCACGGCCCCGGCACGCCCACGCCCGGCACCGCCCGGCACGGCCCCGGCACCGCCCGGCACCGCCCGGCACGGCCCCGGCACCGCGACACGGGGACACCACAGCAGCCCGCGCTGCATTTACAAACTCTTTATTTAAAAACCTCCCGGAGTAGATATAAAGGAGCTCCTCCTGCTCAAACCCCCGTCCGAAACCCCGCGGCAATGCCCCGTATTTACACCGTCAATGTTTCCAGCCCGCTGTACAACGAGAACGGCTGGCGAACAGTCTGTACACGGCAGGGACGAACAAACAGGTGGGCCACAAACACCCCGTGAAGTGTGGGAAATACACATTTAACATAAAGCAACGGGGAGGAGACAGCAAAGACTATGCAACCCCCAGCGAGTGGGACTGGTGCTTCTCTTCCTAAACACGATTTCTTTACAGGGAGGAGACTGAGTTAAACAAGGGACTTAGGTAAGTTTTTATAAAAAGAGAACTTAAATAGTGCAAACTCTGGTTCAAACATGTCACCACATTGAAGGAGTTTCCGCGTGACAAACCCTGCGGTAGGGTGGGAGCAGAAATAACAGCTCCAGCTTTCAACCCAGACACTCCACAGCCAGGGACAGTGTCAACATCGAGTGTGGGAACACTGGGGCAGACCCTGCCCTCAGTCCCCGTCACAGCCTAGTCACCTGAAATCCCAGGAAGCATTTAAATTCTGTTTCACATTCCCTTGTGATTTCCAGGCAAAAATCCAGTGAAATGCCCTCCCTCAGTCACCATGAGGCAAATTAAATACCCGAAACATACAAATACAGGAGAGGCTTTGCCACATTTTTGCCCTTTCAGCAGTGACCTGGATAAATTCTCCTGTCAGAACTTCCAACAGGCAGAGGAATTTGGCAAACTACCGAACGGGACGTGCATCGGGGACTCTCTAACTAACATTTCAGTCTGTAGTATTTTCAAAGGGCTATAACAAAACAGGTCATAAAAATAATTTTCCAGATGTCATCTGCGTTTGACATGGTTTGCTGGAAGAGTCTGGCAATGTGTGTGGAGGGTTTCCAACACCAGAGCTTTCATGTCCAGGTGCTCTTCTCCTTGTCGGGAGAAAAATAAAATAAAAGTAAAGCTATATTTCCTGATATGCAAAACCTATAAAAGATGAATAATCAGCAAAGTCCCCCAAATCAAACTGTGAGAACAGACCAGCAAAAGAAAAAGGACTTTAAGGCAACAAGAGGCATCAGTGCTGTGATGCTCCGTGGTCATGTCCCAACCCCGTTCAACTGCAGAGAGTTTCTCTCCTCTGCCCCTCTCCAACTTCCTCCTCATCTGTTAACTGTCAGATTCTTCCTCCTTTTCCTCATCCTCATCATCGTCCTTTGCATTGGCCTCAGACTTATCTGAGGATTCATGGAGCAGGACATACTCCCTGCTGCTGAACCCGAACTTGAGCACGTCCTTCTCCTTCAGTTCGTAGTAGCGCTGGGGCTCGATGCGCTGGTTGTTGAGGAAGGTGCCGTTCCCCGAGCCCAGGTCGATGATGTAGGGCCTCACCCTGCGGCCCACAGTGCCATCAGCTCGGGTGTACTCCACCAGCCTGCAAAACACAAACACTGAGTCACAACAGAGGCACAGGGAACGTGCCCCAAAGCCAGGTGAGACAAAAATCACGCTCCACGAGCGAGTGGGTTTCTGCTGAGAGCAGAACAGGCCGAGGGGAGCAACAAGAAACTGTGTGAGAGAGAGCAGGTTCTGAGAGGCTGCAGCATCCCCTAAGCCTCTGGTGATTTCACACAGCAACTCCTGCATTGGGAGAGATGATGTTTCCCAAGAGAGCACCGCTGCTGGCAGCAGCAGCACCCCCCTGCTGAGTCAGAGCATGAGAGCACATCAACAAACCTCTCCTTGAAATGCTTTCACTGCCAATCGCACCCAGTGTGATTCCAGCCCAGATTCACACCCTACCCCGTGTCTAACCCCACTGTGTGATTTCCCTACTTGTAGCTAAATAAGAGAAATTACAGGTATCTTTGCATCACTACTGAGAGGACCTGTGGCAGTCACACAGAAATTCCATTTCTAATGTAATGTAAGTGTAGAAGACTCTTCTGGAAGATTTTACTATGAGGAGATTTGGGTTTTTCACTTAAGGAAGCTTTCCTGCCTGGAAAAAGGCATCTTTCCCAGAGATAGTTTTAAATGTTTTCTCCTCCTGCCCTCCAGAGGAGCTGACTCCCAGGTACGACAGAAGGTAAGTTCTCGCAGACGTGTCTGAAGGCCCCACAGCAGGGTTGGGGAGCCAGGAATGACAAAAGTCATGAGAAGAACAGAGGTGAGTCTCCTTCTCAGGCCCAGTGGAAATCTGTGCTGGTACGTTGAGTGTCCCTGACTTTGGAAAACAAACTCTCCTCCACCCTTCCAGTGCTCGGCCCTCACACCCACGTTCGGCTGTGCGCTCCGGGGGGTCTGGTCCATGTTTTATCCCCCCAGGGACTCACCGGTACTGGAAGACGGCGTGCTGCTTGGAGCAGGAGGGGTGGTCGATGGGGATGTCGGCGATGCGGCGGTGCCGGCCCAGCAGGTAGGCGCTCTGCCGGTGGATGTACATCACGGGCAGGAACTCGTCGTTCTTGAAGGGGTACAGGCGCCAGCGCGTCTTGGGCACGCGCGCCTCGGGGGGCTCGCTGTACTTGATCACCACGCCCCGGAACGTGTTGGTGTCCTCCAGCAGTGCCCCCGACAGCTCGAAGCTCGGCTTCTCCTTGTTGGCAGCCGCCTTCTCCTTGGGCTTGCCCTCGGGCGGCCGCAGCTCGGGGTTGTGCTCGGCGCTGCCCTGCCGGTGCTCCCGCCGCCGCTCGTTGTGCAGCTCCCTCTCCGCCTGCTGCTCCCGCAGGCTCTGCGCGTCCCGCTCGTGGCCCCGAGCGCCCGGGTTCCTCCTGCGCTCCGCGTGCTCCCTGTGCCGCTCCCGGTCCCCGCTCCGCTCCCGCCGCTGCTCCTGCTCCGACGGGTGCCGGGGCTTGCGCTCCTCGTTGGCCCTGCGGCCGTGCTCGTCCCGCTCCTGCAGGGCACAGGGACGGGCTCTGGGTCGGACAGAAACCCCAACCCCACACACGGACAGCACACCCTGGGGCGGGAGCGCCCAGGTGTGACACAGCCCCGACAAACGGGTCTCCTTCCCGAACCTCTCTCGTTCCCACAATCTGCACCGAATGAAGCACGAGAAACAGGCTGTGTCGCCTGCTCTGGCCTCAGGGTGCAGCTCCCAGGCACGTCTGTGCCGCAGAGAGGCTGGGCTCGCACGGGTGCTCCGCTCACCGCTGGCACGGCCTAGGGAGGGCAGACCCGCCCAGAGCCTCCCCCCGCTCAGGGACGGGCTGCGGGGGGCGCAGAACGGAACTGCCGAGGGGGGAGGCGCCTCCCGTGCCCGGCACGGCCGAGTCCCCGGGAACAGCTACCGGGGCCCCGCCGCACCGACAGCGCCCTTTACCTGCTTCACCCTCACGGCGCCGTGGTACGGGCTGCGGCTGCGGCTCCTCCTGCAGCGGGGCGAGCGGCTCCTCCGCCCGGACCGGCTCCTCCGCCGGGGCGACCTGGGGAACAACGGGAGGGGGGATTAACCGCGGGGGCCGAGCGTGCGCGGGGCCCGAGCGGCCGGGCCTCCCTACCTGCTGCCGCGGCTGCCCCGCCGCTCCTCGCTCGGCGGCGACGGGCTGCGCCGGGGGCTGCGCCGCTCGGCCTTCACGGCCCCGTCCCTTCGGCGCCGCTCCCGCCGCCGCTCCCCCCCCGCCTCCATGGCGGCCGTGCCGACGGAAGCGCGGCCGCTTCCGGCGCGCGCCACTTCCGCCCGCCTGCGCGCTGCCGCGCCTGCGCGGGGCCGCGGCGTCGCGGTCGCCATGGCAACAGCGCCCTCGATGGCGGCGCCGCCGGAGTCGCTGCTGCGCTACTGCCCGCCCGTGCTGGTCAGCCGGCGCGGCGACCGGGCCTCCGCGGGGGTGAGCGGGCACGGCCGCGCCGCCGAGCGCCGCGCTCTGCCGGGGGCGAGCGGGCCGAGGGCGCCGCGCTCCCCCGCCCGCTCCTACCGCGCTCTCCTCTCCCGCCCCGCAGGCCCGCTCGGCGAAGGGGACCCCCTCGCCGCCGCCCCGGACACCCGGTGCCGTCAGCCCCTCCCCGAAGCACCCGCAGGAGCTCCTGAACGCCATCCTGCCGCCGCGGTGAGCGGGGCCGGGCCGGCGCCGGTAGCGCCCGGCGGGCTCCGGGGCGCCCGGTAACGCGCGGTGCTTCTCTGGCAGGGAGTGGGAGGAGGCGCAGAAGCTCTGGGTGCAGGAGGTGTCCACCGCGCCCAGCACCCGCCGGGACGTCGTGCAGCTGCAGGAGCAGCTGGACCGACAGCTGCAGCAGCGGCAGGCACGGGAGACCGGGCTGTGCCCCGTGCGCAGGGAGCTCTACACGCAGTGCTTCGGTCAGTGCTCCTCCCGCTGCTCACACGCCAAGGACAGGGCTGGCAACACGTGCCGACACGTGTAAAACCGCTCAAAATCCTTTTAGCTGTACTTACCCAACAGGTCGTTTAAAATAGCTCAGAACCCTCTCTGACTCACACTCTGGCAGCGCACGATGCTGGTCTTCCAAACGCAGGGGGTGGCCATGGGTTGGAGCAGGATCCCTTGGAGGCTCCCCTGTAAGTGCAAAAACTCATTACACGTTCTTAGGTGCTCCCTGTTACCGCTTTAGGGGATTAACACCAGTTGTGTTACCTGAGGGGCTGCACCATCACTCCTTTAGCTGCAGAGTAACAAAACAATCAGTTACGACTCTGGTAAATCCCCGTTTCTGTGGAGCAGACAACAGGTCGGAGAGGCGCTGTGTGTGTGTGCAGCACTCACAGAGATCGCCCTGCGGGTGCTGTGCCTCCCTTGCAGACGAGCTGATCCGGCAGACGACGGTGAGCTGCGCGGAGCGGGGGCTGCTGCTGCTGCGGGTGCGGGACGAGCTGCAGCTCACCCTGGCCGCCTACCAGGCGCTCTACGAGAGCAGCGTGGCCTTCGGCGTGCGCAAGGCGCTGCAGGCAGAGCAGGGCAAGACCCTCATGGAAAAACGGGTGAGTCGGGGGAGCTGCCGCGGGATGGCAGCAAAGACCATCCAAACGCTGGGCTCGCAGTCCTCGGGCTCCACCGCGCTCCTGAAGCGTGGTTCTGTTGTGTGTGAAATGCTTTAGAGACTGAAACACAAAGCACTTTTAACTGAAAGTTTATTCAGCAACAAAACGTGAGAAATCCGTACTCTTTCCCAAGATTGCAGAGCTGGAACAGGAAAGGAGGGAGCTGGAAAAGCAAGTGAGTGAGGAGAAAGCCAAATGTGAGGCTATTGAACAACAGGAAATAGAACGGCGAGAGATAGAAGAGAAGAAACACAACGAGGAGGTTCTGTTCCTCAAACGGACAAACCAGCAGCTGAAGGTCAGTAAAACACCACAGCTCCAAATACTAATGGTAGCATTCTCATTAAAGCCACTAAAGCTGCCCCTCTGGGAACACAACCCACCATTTAACATTAAATATTACCCAAGAACAACTGCACACTCCTGCAGCAGGGACTGGGTAATTCTTTTTGCATGTGGCTTTGGTGAGAAGAGCTTCTGCTCCATATTTTGTTTTTGAAAGGAAAAATCCCACATCTTTTGAGTAAAGAAAGAATGTCACCCTGCAGGTCATGGAATGTTTCTGGCTACAGCTAAAAACATTTCCCTTAGAGCAAGCTACTTTCCTTACCTTCACTTCTCCTACAGGACCTGCTTGCCAACCCACATATTCAGGCTGCCTTGGAATGTTTTAGGACACAAAATAGAGTAACTGTTAGATCAAATATGTGTTGCCCCTGACTCCATAGCTTTTTCCTTGAAGTACCTGTACTCCAGCAGC